TTATTACCTGTAGCAAAAACATTATATAAAAAAAAGCAAAGACTTTATAAGAGAATAAAATTATAAAAATAGAAAAATATTAAAAATAGAATAATAACAATCACAGGAATACCCACTTTAAAATACCAATATATAATACTGGAAGTAGTACAATATGTACTCCGAAAAACTCGGTTGGAAGTTTCAACGCCCATAACCTGTGAGTCCACCAATTAGGAGAGTATCTGTTATCAAGTCCTGCATGCATATTATTAACACTATATGTAATAAGGAAGGTTGTGCTTGAAATACGAACTGGGTTACAGCAGCATTACAAATAATGGCTTAAGATACGAACTCAGTAATGGCAGACAACATGTACTACACCAATCTGGAAGTAGCCGCGAGGTTACATTTGCCTGGTGCCCCCTAGTGGAATCTGTAACAGATACTGCACTGGAACCATATTGGGAGTATAAGGTTGTTAGTATGAGAAATGTGAGGAATATATTAGGGTTAGAATAGGATATTTAGCTAGTGGTACACAAAATCTAGATAATACATAAGTGGAATATGGATAGCTCTAGTAAGTATAGATCGTAGATAATTAGTCTAAGCTACTGTTTTATTAATTGTTGTATAAATGTATGTAATTGATATACGTATATATTTAATAAATAACATGAGGCAAGATTTCACCTTAAAAAAAAAAAAAAAAAAAAAAAAAAAAAAAAAAAAAAAAAAAAAAAAAAAAAAAAAAAAAAAAATTTAAAAAAAAAAAAAAAAAAAAAAAAAAAAAAAAAAAAAAAAAAAAAAAAAAAAAAAAAAAAAAAAAAAAAAAAATCTGATAGCTGACCCAATTTTCTGAATCCTAATTAAAATATGCACGCTCTTCCTGAATCCAGTGTTGCATATTTTGACTTTTCCGAGCATTTTTGACCTTATCCCATCCTGGGACGTCACAACTTTGTTCCATTGGTTTCTCAGTTTTTTAGTTTGAAAACTATATCAAAATAATAGAATATATGTAAAATTAAATTTTAATTATTTTTATTTAAGAGCTGAACTAAGATGCTTTAATAAATTTTGAATTATTGCCATTTTTTTTGAATTTATTATATATTGATATGCTAAAAACTTTATTACTACATTAAAAATTTTTTATAACTAAATAGCTTCAATTATAATCCATTCAAGTTTTGAGTCACTTGAAAATGACTCATAACCAAATAACTGTTAACAACAACGATGACAGACAATCTCAGGTTTAAATTTCCTTATTTCAATCATGCTTTAATGCACGTTAATCTGCATTATCATCGTAGCTATACATAAAGTCATAATTTTATTAAATTGGATATTAATGTTTGTCCTAAATAATAAACTGCATATATTCAGAAATTTTCACGTAATTTGAATGACTTTTTATTAATTTGCATTCGCAATACTAAAAATTTTTAATTATTTTTTTGTGAAAATAACATGTGAAAATGTAATAATACAGTAAAAGTTTTTCTAAAATTATATGAAATTTCTAAATATATGCAATCGATTAACTTAATGCATGAATAATCTTTACTTAGTAAAACTTTTAACTTTTATATAGATATGATAATCAATTATTATTTATAAAATTAGTTTTTATCTAAAAAAATCTCCAATTAAAAATTTAAGCTTTCGCTGACCTCCGATTGCGTGGTCACTTTGTAATATGCATGTTAATGACACCCGATGAATGACGAACCAATTTGTCGGATGACGAGTGACAAAATTTATGCCGAATGGGGATCTCTAATGTTTGATAGCTTTCAAAATTTATTACTACTCGATTTTTGATTTGTAAATTAAAAATTACGTAACAAATGGAAAATACTACCCGCCTTTAGCGTTAGGCGATTTCCTCTTATAGTAGTGTCTGCAAGATAATGCATAGCGATAAATGATAACTTATCGAATAAATAAATAAATAAAAATTAAATAAATTAAATGTGTTGTCAATCATTATTGATGTAATAAACTTTCGTCAATTTCCAAATAACGAATTGATGAAAGGCAAACTCATGGCGAATAACAATACTATGACAATTGATAGACTTAAAATTATTATTCTTTTCTTTATGTGAAGCTAATTTTTTATTTAGTATCTACCGGTTTCTCTTTTTTGACACATTTATCCAACATTACCTTATGAAATTGCATTAATCACTTGGAGGTATATATGATGTGTCAAATGAAGAAAACTACAGGGCTGTTAACGGGATGTTACACTCTAGAATATTAGGAGTATAAACCACACCATACCGGTGTGGTTTATAAGTTGCACCACTCTATATCGCTGTATAAGTTGAATACTTCAGAACTACTAAGATTACTCCGGATTAAAAATAATAAGCTTTGGCCAATGATAAACAGCTTAATAGATAATTAATATTATAACATTAGAATTTATTCTGTATATCAAAAAAATACAAACTATAGTTAGCATTATATTTTAAAAAACATATTATAAAATTTATTTCGGAGTAACTTTCTCCGGTAAAAATTATAGAGTTTAATCTGGAATAGTAACTCTGGCAAAATATTTCGTACCACTCTGAATAGGAATGTAAAAGTTAATTAGACCAGACTGATCCAGACCGGTCTGGTCTTAAGACTAAATGCAGATTCGAAATTCACGGTAATAAAAAAAAAAAAAAACTATCGCTTCAGATTTCATGCAATGTAAAGCTAAAAATTAATTTTTTGCATTATATGAGCTTATTAATTTTTTATGGAGTTAACACTTTAATAACGAACTGAGGATTTGTCAGTTAGAAAATTACTATGTCTTTCATATGAACCAATAAAACTTTATAATAAAATAACCAATTTTGAAAACATTTAAGATTTAGAAACCAATAGTCAATTATCAGGAATTTCATCAATCGTTAAGTTTCATTAATGCAACATCAATTGTACACAAGTTTCAATACGTATTACCACAGTTCTTCATGGTTAAGTCCGATATAGTGAAAACCTTAATTTGTACTTGCAGGTTTTCATTTTGCAATACACATATATTAAACGACCTTTAAAGTCAATGGTTAGTTAGTTGTCTTTTAGGTAATTTGACCAACAGTATTACCAGACTTACCGACTATTACACCTACAAATTTATTCACTCTCCTAGAGAACGACAAAATGACACAATGCGCATTCTCGTTCGTATTTTAGAAATGATCGGCTATTTCCGAATTTTATCCGAAACCGAATTTTATCCGAAAAAAAAAAATAGCCAGTCAGATTTTTTGACGCGTGCGCAAAGTGATGGAAACAGGAAAACAAAAAAAATACAAGAAAACAAGTGTTTGATACTAACTAAAGCAACAGATGAAAACCAACGTCCTAACTAAAATTATTATTATTCCCGTCTTTACTAATTGTTAATTACGGGGTTTTCGTTATTATTTTTTGGGCACAACTTAATTCAGACTCAATAAGGAAATAGCCTCGGCCGTTAATTAATCAAATGGGTAGATTTTTTCTCTTAGGCTCCTATCGGAGCCGAAAAAATTATTCCCTGCGAAGCGGGGAATAAATAGTACTTCTTATTTCACAAAAATTTGCTTTTTTATCACGCTGTCCCTTTTTTGTTTGTTTTACAGAAATATATTTGCTTAGGTTACTTAGGGGGTTCTATTAGGAAAAACATAACATTTATTATTTTTTTCGAAGAGAATTCATAACTACAATTTTATTCGTACATTTCTGTGATTTAATTATAAATTTTTATTGAATTTGGTTAGGTTATCATTATTCTAAATTACAGAAAGGATACGAATCAATTATGCGTACGATGAATACGCCTTGCCTATCTTTACATCTATCAATAAAGAAGTACTTACAGAAACTTAAATACAGCAACTGCATAGTAACGACGTAGTAATTACATAATTACTATTAAATTTAATCGTAACTACATAATTACCATGCGGTTACTACGAATTAGGAGATTTAAGTTTTTGTATAGTAATTTACTCAAAAAAACTTTGAACGTACTATACATGTCATAGAAACTATTTCAGTATTGATTTTTAATATCAGGTATGAAACCGCTTAGGTACGTCAGCGGTTTCATATTAAAAATCAATGCCGAAATCGTTTCTACGGCATGTATAGAACATATTGCTGTACAAGACCCTTAAAGTTTTTATTATATTGATACTCGTAATATTTAGTCGCATGGTATTTATTATTTAGTTAATATTTAACATATATGGTACTATATATTAACTTATACATTTAATATTAATATTATTTACATATAATGAAATTCATAACATAATAATTTTACTAATTTTTGCTACGTAAAAATTCCGGATATATTATCTGTTTCAGAAAGGTGTCACAATTATCCTTTCCTCTTTGTTGATAAAAAAAACAAAAAGACAATAAATTTAGGATGTTTGTTGCTAAATTTAAAACTGTGTGTAATTAAATTGAAATATTAATAAACATAGTCGTACGTACTATCCTATTGCTATGACAATTAATTTTGGTAGATGCGCCAGTTAACGTTTAATCTTTATGTTGATTAGAATTCCAGATTTACACTCTTTTCTGCATCGATCTACCGTCTTGAAACTATTAGTTCAGAATCTGTGCTTACATTTGTACTACAAAATTCCTATATTTGTTAAATACAATCCCTGTTTCAATTTAAACCAAAGCACTGTGCATTGTGCATTTATTATGCTTCTGTGTATAAACCAATCTTTAATTTATTAATTGCTTTAAACGAAATCTATATTTATCTCAACTAAACGAAATAAAAAAAATCTCACTTAGTTTACTCACATCGTATTATAAAATAAACGTAATCACGAAATGTATATAAAATGCCTGTTTCCCATTATTTCAATCTTTAACTAAACTGACTTCAATTTCCACTCCTATTTTTTTTTTTCAAAAAACATTCTTTTGAAAAAAATATTACAAGCAAAAATTAAACCGAAACAGTACAGTATAATACAATTACTTCATCACCATGAATCCTCAACCAATTCCAAGAATTCAAAATGTAATCCATGTAAATCCAACCAACAATACTCTCGACATTGACCAACGTTATACTGATTTGGTTGAAGGCGTGAAGATTTTCTCTGAAGAGCGAAGAGAAGAAGATCAGACAATTCCCTCCCAAAATGACCAATTTTCAACCGCATTATTTTCAGGCTCTTCCTTTACATAAACTGAATTAAACTGAATAACATAATTAACTTTTAAACTAAAAGGCCTTCTGTAAAAAAAAATAAATCACATCAAGTTTATTAAGCTCACGCCTTTTTCACGTCGATCGGTTATATAATCTATTTTAGTTTCATTAATCATCCTACAACCAATTCTTTTTTATACGATTGATTCATTTTGGTGCTATCTCTAGATAGACACTTTTCTTATTTATTTGTAATTTAATTTTGGAATGATTCATTAGGACATTCGATCACCTATCATTATGTAAATTAGTACAACACATTTTTTGGTTGGGTCAATGAGATTTCATGATCACGTGCATGTTGCGATGATAAAAAAAACTCCTATTAAAAAAAAAAAAAAATCGCTTGTACGTTGAAATTTTGCTTTAAAAGCCATCATTTACATTCCAATACAAAATATTCCTGTAAAATTTTGATAAAAATAGCCTGTCTCTTTACTAATTAAAATAAGTTGCACAAAAATGCACCGATGACTATTTAAGTTTTTCCGAAAAAATATTTATGTAATTTTTATGTGTTAAGAATAAATATACACATGAATAAAAAAAAAAGAAAACAGTAATGCTTTCTAAATATAGATATAAATGGCATCCTTATTATTTGTAACATACGTATAAGCATATATAAAATCTGCTTAACTATTTACGTTAATGATTATCCGGTGTTATGTGCTTAGATTTTCTTTGTTATATTTTTTATATTGTATTAGCTATATTGTTAGTGCTATTGCTATGCATGGTTTAGAACCACAGATATTAGTTCGAGACCATAAATATTTGTTTAGGATCATAGACCTTGGTTCGAAACCACGGATCTTGGCTTGAGACCACAAATCTTGGTTCGAGACCACAGATCATGGTTCTCGACCATGGCTATTTTGTAATGTATAAATATGACAGCTAAACTGATAAAGAGAATTAATAATTTTCGAGAGAACTTCAAATAAAGCACCTTATGAATCGTATACCAACTAAATACATTCCTTAATAGCCTGTTATAATTAAATCCGAATCCTTTATAAACATTCATCTCGCATAACCTATTCTTGTAACCCTGAGCTAATTTGACCTCACTACAACACCGGATGAAAAATAATTTGTTGACCTAATTGATCCGGTCGACCTGTTACAGTACATGGCTGATTTACTGTGATGCATGAATGTTGTTCATTTGATTCACATTAATTTAATTACCTTAACGTCAGTAATTTGATTTCAAGCAATAAATGCGATGGTTGAAATTATGAGATTTGAGGTGAAATTAACGAATTTAAATTAAGCTGTTTAAATTAATGTTATATCTAAAACAAAAAATGGCTAATGATGAAAATTCGTTCCTATTTTGAGGTCACCATCGGATAAATTTGTGGAAAAAATTAGGACTTAAAAAAAAAAAAAAAATTGCTTTTGAAAGATTGGGTCACCGGGTTATGCAAACCGAAAAATTAACTTTGAGTGATCTAATATGAATTTAAAAATTTTAGAGTCTTTTTTTAACCTTTAGATCTAGGTTAGTGATGTTATATGGATTTTAGTAATAATTATTTTTTAAATAGGGGAATAAGGGTCTAATTCAGCATCAGCCATTTTCTACAATTAACACCCCTCTAATTTTTTCTATTCCCATTAAACAGTGATTAATTGATGTACAGTATTATGTATCTATTAAAATGTGTATAGACCTGCGGCTAGTTTAGACCAAAAATTATGATGCTGTAATATAATATCGGTATGTCGTGTACAAAAAATTATGTCTTTAGAGCAATTATTTTTTTTAATCTGGGCTATCCGAATAGCATGTTTATGCCGGGTTAGCAGATACATTCACGGATTATCCTTATTTGAGTAAAATCTCCACATAAAATAAACAAATTTTGATAACCCGAAAAATTTAACCAAATAATTTAGATAACCATGTGTTCGGGGAACTACGCTAAATGCTGAAATACATTTAAAATTAAGAATGAAATTATGTAAGGGCGCATGTATAATCTCGTTAAAATTTCAAATTGGTCAAGTGTAATATGTATACACGACGTACAGTACATACAACATATGAGTGCCGTCAAAGAAAAACCTGTCATCGGACTTCCAATTATATTTTGTGTATGTACAGTTAGTTATCTATGGAAAATCTACCATCATGATAGATTTTCCATAGACGACCAACTGTACACAAAACATAATTGAAAGTTCGATGACAGGTTTTCCTTTGACGGCACTCATATGTGCTATGCGTACATGTACGTGCGTATCAGGTATGTACGTACGTACATAAATAATAGATAATAAATAACTTACCTGATGCATAGCTGATGTGAAAAGTCGGATCTGGTTCTAATTCGACTCCAAAAATCAAGCTTGGAACTCAACTAGCATCTACACATGCATTCTGTACTCTTAACGTAGCATGACAATTTTGGAAAAAATGTGTATGTTGAATACACTATTTTCAATACTTGCTTATGTTAAGTATACAAGAAACATGTGCAGATTCAGACTAAACTTTAATAAAGGCTTGACTTTTAGAGTCAAATTGAGATCTTCATATTCCCATGTATCAGTAATAGTTATTTCCTGGGCAGTTGGGTATAAGCGGGGCTGAAAGTCCCGCTTATTACATAGTGCCCAGGACATAACTGATTTATGCCCTGCGATCTTGATATAGTGACCAGGGTATAAGGTAAGGTATTCATGTATGCAAGTATACATGTATAATACCAATAATACCAAATACTGGTAGTGCGTATTTCGCTGACAATCACTGCACCGACAGTTAGTTCACCGACAATCAATTTACTGTCAAGTTCATTTAACTGACAGTTATTTTGCTGATAGCTCATTTCACCGGCAAAGTAATTCTGGTCATTGTTGTTAGGGTCAGGTTAGAATTAGAGTTAAGGCTAGTGTAATTTGTAAAAAAAATACTCGTCGGTGAAAACGAGCTGTTGGTGAGGTGAAATAACTGTCGGTGAAATGAACTTGTTGGTAAATTGATTGTCGGTAAAATGAACTTGTCGATGAATTAATTGTCGGTTAACTAAGCTGTCGATGAATTGATTTGCGGTTAACTAAGCTGTCGATGAATTGAATGTCGGTTAACTAAGCTGCCGATGAATTGATTGTCGGTGAAATGACACGTATCCCCGAATACATATATATGTATGTACTGTACGTACGTACGTACTTGCATGCATTATTACTTACCAGTTACTATGAAAAGAATAACAAAAAAATTAGATCATTAATTGAGTAACGTAACCATGCTTGCCAATCGTATTTATATTTCCTAGCTAGATGATTTTATATAAGTCGCTTAAACCACATAATATAATTAGATAATGCATAATAGATTAGATTTACTGCATAATACATTTGCTCCAAACACCGTTTCGAATAGAAAATCAATGCAAATTACGAGAAAAAAATTAAAGTTCCGAAACACAAAAAAAGGCCAAGCTAGATATAAACCTGTGCATTTCATGTGCATGACTATAGTTGTTAGACGAAACTTATACTCAAAATGACTAGTACCCTAGCCATGACGAAAAAAAGTGTCGGACAAATGATATTCTACTTGAACATTAACATTCTTGATTGGACGAAATTAATTATCAAAATGTAATTTTTCCTAACTTTGAGTGAAAATATCTTGACAACCATCTATCAAAATCGATAGAAAAATTTTTATTCCGATTCTATATACCTGTATAATTAATAAAATAAAAAAATTTATTATAACACTTTGCAAAAGATGTGACCCCATGATTTCTATCAGTTATATTTATATTTATTTGAAAATTGGCAAGATTCTTAAAATCTACAGAGTCCACACAAATCGCAATAATTTTAGATAGATGGTTTTCGAGATATCCGCTCTAAGTTTGAAAAACCTTGCCGCAGCTTCTGATTTGATTTGATAATTATCTAACCTTTTTTCTAAACTTTGAGTGAAGATATCTCGACAACAACCTATTTAAAATCAATGAAATTTTTTTTATTCCAATTCTATATATCTGTATAATTAAAATAAAAAAAATTTATTAATTTTAGATAGATGGTCGTCAAGATATCTTCGTTTAAAGTTTGAAAAACCTTGCCGCAGCTTCTGTTTGATAATTTTTCCTAAACTTTGAGCGAAGATATCTCGATGACCACCTATCTAAAATCAATGAAAATTTTTTTATTCCGATTCTATATAGGTGGTTGTCGAGACATCTTCGCTCAAAGCTTGGAAAACTTTCTTTTTTGGCGGCAGATCCTCGATTTTGATTGGCTAACGGCCAAGGATCTTCAAAATTTTGGCTCGCACTACATAATTGTTTACTAATTTCTGTTTAAAAAATAAGCCCGCATTATGGTAAAATTGGCCCAGGAACTACAAATCGAAAATCGCAACTAATCGAAAAGTTGACAATTAATCGATTGAAAATTTTTTTGGCAACTTATATTAAAATCGAATAAAAACAAAATTTTTGGCAATTTGTATCACTACCAGGAACAATTTTGCGACTGCGATTTCAAGTAGTGGCAAAAAACGATCCTCGGTCACGTGACTTCCGAGCAATTTTTAGAGCTCTGTAGATTTGAGATATCGGAAAGGGGATCCCATCAACTCACCGACAATCACTTCATAGACACCACATTTTACTGACAATTACTTACCGACAAGTTCATTTCACCGACAGTTTATTTCACTGAAACACATTTTACAGACAAAGTAATTCTAGTCAACATTATTAGAGTTAGGTTAGAACTAGAGTTAAAGTTAGGGGTAGTTTCAAGAAGAGTGAACCCAGTGATATCTTCATGATAATCACATTACAGGATTAAACACTCGGCCTAAGTTAGGGTTAGTGTTAGGGTTAGGTGATAGTATTTTTTAGGCCAAATTCGTTAGTGCTAGTAAACAAATAACATCATTCCATGATTTTACATAATGTGATAATCACTGGGTTCATTCTTCTTTAAGTGTCCCAATCTTTCATCTTCTAGAGTTTAAAATTGATATGATCATTTAAAAGACTTCTATATTTTATAGCCTAATAACTTGCTTTTCAAATATTTCTCTTTGTGCCGATACCGTTATAATAACATTGAGCATTGATATCATAAT